ATATATATATATATATATATATATGTGTGTGTGTGTGTATGTACGGTTTGTGTTGACGGTTGACTGGGACGTGTGGCCGTCCTATTCCTCCTCTTGTTCTTTCCTTCCTCCTTCTTCTGCTCTTTACTCATTTTTACTGCTTTCTGCTACCCTTGTCTGGGTCTATGGTGAACAGGAAGTGACTGACCTGCGTTTGAAGAGCAGCAGTTACTGTCAGGAAGTTACTGACCTGCAGGAGGCGCTGCAGTGGAAAGACAAAAAAATCGGGGTATGGTTTCATTTAGTGCTTTACGATTTTCAAACTTAAGTCTGAAGCTTCACTTCTTCTTTCTTAGGGTTTTTACTTTTCTTTCATTCACTAACTCTTTTCTTTCTTCCTTACTTGCTTACTTCTTTCCTCTCCTCCCCGCTCGTTGTCGCTCAGGCGTTGGAACGGCACAGAGAAATCTCGGACATTGTTTGCATTGAGCGTGACCGGCTCAGAGACGAGGTGGTTCGACTGCGAGATTTACTAAAGGTATCAAACTCTGAAGAGCAGCATGAAGAGCTCAGAGTTGAGAATAGCATTAGTTCCATAAACTAACATATAAAAACCTCAGTATCTAAACTCTTTTCTACATTTATCAGCATCTTTAAACGAACTTTTTGAAAAATTAAACTAATTTAGAATTTATTCTCTAAAACTTTCATTACTTTAGTAAAATTACGGTATTCCTTTTAAAGCATTTAAAAAAGGGGTTTAGGTTATTAGAATAATTATTTTAGTTTGCTGTGTTTTTAAATTTTATGGCAAGTTTCTAAAAATAATTTCTAAATCTTACGCAAATACATCGTGACATCTGTTAACTGTCACAGGACAGTTAATGTGAACATCTGTGAAGCTGTTTAAGATTTTTAAAAAGAACTGTAGGCTTTCTGACTAAATACAAGAACCAACGTTCACACACAGAGGGCAACTGGTATTGATTATGTTGCTGACTGATTACTGATTTTATGAATTTCTGCTGGACAGAAAAACGGTGTAACCGTCTCTCCTGACATTACCACCAATGGGGATGCGGAACTCGGTGGGAACGAGGACGATATAAGTGCAGAATCTGCCTCTCGACTGGCTCAGGAGTCTCCTCAAGGTGGCAGAGAGAACATGCTTGGTAGGACCCAAATAAACCTTTCATAAGAATATATAAGTGTTTGCGGGTGGGTGGGTGGGGGGGTTTGACTTTTTTGTTCCTTTAATTATTTATACATTTATTATAAATATTAATTATTTTATTAATAATAATAATGACTTAAAATATAACAAATTTTAAAAGTTACAATTTGTTTGACTTTAAAAGTCAGAATTGCAATTTACAAACTAATATCCTGAATAAAAATATGTACTCTTGATTTTAAAAATGAACACACTGAATTACACCTTTTAAAACATTGTAGCAATTCTGACAATTATAATTTCAAAATGTTAATATTAAAAATAAATGTTGTGGTATTAAAACTATAATATGACGTTGATAAGTTAAAAATGAACACACTGAATTACACCTTTTAAAACATTGTAGCAATTCTGACAATTATAATTTCAAAATGTTAATATTAAAAATAAATGTTGTGGTATTAAAAATTAATTATTGTTATTAATTTTTTTGTTTTTGGCGTATGTCCAACTTATATTTTATGATTATGTAAGTGTACATGTAGAAGAATAGGTGCTAACTTTACAGTAGTTAATGTGAATGCAAATAAAGTATTAACTTATCAACGTCATATTATAGTTTTAATACCACAACATTTATTTTTAATATTAACATTTTGAAAATATAATTGTCAGATTTGCTACAATGTTTTAAAAGGTGTAATTCAGTGTGTTCATTTTTAAAATCAAGAGTACATATTTTTATTCAGGATATTAGTTTGTAAATTACAATTCTGACTTTTAAAGTCAAACAAATTGTAACTTTTAAAATTTGTTATATTTTAAGTCATTATTATTAGTTACACAAGTTTGAGGCAGGAATATGACATATGGAATTTTGAGATATTTTAGCATAAAACTGGAGTAGTTTATTTTCACTTGGCATTGGTAATTTTATTTTTGAAATGTTTTATCTCCTTTTACTTTACTGAACCATTTTCTTTTTTTGTTTGTTTTTGTTTTCCTTTTTTTAAATATTGCATGATGTGCATGTCTGAATGAGTCTCTAACAAACACATGCTTGTGTAATCTTTCTTTAATTTTGATAAAAAACTCAAATGATTTCAATCGCTTCAGGATTGCATCTGGATTTTTAAAATCACCTCTTCGAGTTCATGCTACAGAAGATTAATTCAAGAATCGACGTTTAATCCCTCTGATCGCCTCCTTCCTTCATCACCACAAGCCAGTTAATTCTCTTCTAGATTTAGATCTTCTAGATCTAGTTCATTTATGTTTTACTTCTCTAAGAGTCAGCTGTGTTTGGTCCTCCAATGTTTCTTCCTGGTCTTTCAGGAAAAACTAAAGAGTGGGAGACAAAAGAAGGCAACAGACCACCTGAGAACAACAAGAAAAACTACCTCTGGAAGGTTCTTAAACGGTCAAAGTCATTGAATGACATTTCCACCATCAGCAAAAGCAAGTCGATCAAACAGCCTATAGAAAGACGAAACACAGTTGACAAACATCTAAGAGGAAACGAGGCTGCAAGAACCAAGCAACCAAGACCCAAGAGAATCAAGAAAATCCAGAGCAGGCAACATGGACATCTTCTACATAGAAAGACAGGAGCCAAACTACGTATGAATAAAGAAAGGCCAGGGGCTGCTTGTAAGATATATTTATATACCAAACCTAAAAATGAATTTGGGGTGGTTTCAACAGCACTAGCAAACCAGGATCCAACAGAAGAGACGCACTCCTTTAGTGAACAGATCAGCAAAACTCAGGAAAATTCAGAAAAATGCCCCGAGGTTGTTTCACCTGTTCTCAAATCAAACCTTTTTCATCATCCTACTGAACATGTCATTCAGGATAGCAAAGTGGTACTGCTTAGTGTATCAAGTGACAAAAACTGTGATGTTTCTGGTAGTGTGGAAAAGGTTCAGGTGGACAAAGACACATTTCATGAAACAGCTCAATCACCCGAAGAACTTAAAGACCAGAGGATTCATGAACCAGCTAGACATAATTCCTCCAAATGTGCAGAACGTAACATTCAAACATCAACATCATTTGCTCCACTGGACATCCGTGCTGGTTTGGAAAAGATGACTCAAAATGTCCACCAAGGATTTGCTGGAAATCAAGTTTTTGTAGTTGAAATCTCACAAATCTTCTCAGAAATTCTGGGATCTCTTCAAAAGTGGACTTCAGATTTGGAAAATATATTAAAGAACAAGCCTAGTCAGCACAACAAAGAGCAAACTGGCCACATGATGGATCCTACACTTAATAAATATGTGGAAAAATGTCTGACCCGACCTTTAGGCCTACTGAGAGACAATTCAGCTTCAAGGATGTTGGAAGTAGCCTCCACAAGTAAACTGTATGCAGATAATCTGGATCGTCCTATGAATGCTGACCAAAAGGCACAAAGGATCATGTCTAAAACCCATGAAATGGAAGTGGTAGAATTGTTTGGAGGAAATCCTGCTGATATAGATGAAACAACTGTAACAAGCTGCTCAGAGCCTTTTGATTTTATCGACTCCTACTTCACTAAACCTGAAGAGGCCACAGCAAAGGTGTCTGGGTCAAATCTGGGTTCATCAACAAGTTCAAAGAGATTCAAAAGTCAAAGCTGTCATGTAGTAGCTGCCAAAAATTCAAAGGAGTTGGTTGGAGACACTGACAGTTGTGAGGAGATCAACGAGGAGGGCCAACAGACGGAAATGGAGACTCTTGCTGAAGTTGGAAGCATGAAATGCCGCAGAAGACAGAGAGAGTCATGTTCCGACTGCAGGAAAAATAAAAAATCTGAGTGCAGCATTTCCTAAAATCACAAGAATGAAGGAAATGATGATTTAGTAGTCACAGTGTTGGAGCTTTAGATTCTAAATTATTAGACTTTGAAATATCAATGAAGCATCAGTACTGTTATCAGTACTTAAGTATTTGAACTGATCAAATAAATAAAGTGAATATTTAAATCATTCACCTATAAATATGTTCTTTACTGACATGTTTTTATAAGCTGACTGCTTGGAAATTGTTTTCTTGACAGTTAATTGCAACACTGTACAAGGGTAAGCAGCTGTAAACTTTAACTGCCATGAATTTGGCATCAAAACAATTACATGAAATCAATAGTTTATTTCTGTTTAAATGGGTTGATGGTATTTTTTTTTTTCCAGATTAATAAAACGTACTTGTTTGAAAAGAATATTTGTCTGTATTTTACATTTGAAATTTTCCATCATGAATAAATTTAAAGTTGTATTAAGTAATTTTTGGCTTGAGGAAGCAGAAAGGCTTCAAATTGGTGCCCAGTACACTTAAAGAACTTAAAGAACTGATAACTTCAGAGTCAGAGTTGTAGATTAGCTTTTCAAGGATCTACATTGAGTCATTTTATATTTTCTATCATGTTTCAGCTGCTCAGACACAACACATGCAAAGTGTGTTTGAAAAACCACAACTAGTCAAAGGACTTTACTTAATGGAGCTTTCAACTTCCATTTACAGGATTTATTATTATTCTCACATAATGCATCACTCATAATGTTCTCGGGAAGGATTGGCACAGATCTTTTCCAACACAATTAAAGGGACACTCTGCTCACAATCAATAAAACTATAATGAAAGGCAGATGTGCCGAATCAGTGTTTGATGTTTAATTCAAGGTTAAACCATAAAAAGATTCAGGTTAGAATAATATGACTGCTTCCTGGACTTATTTTTTTCTGCTGTTTCAGAGTTTCGGCTGAAAAAACTTTTTGAAGAAAGAGAGAGTTTACAGGATCAGGTGAGTTGCCTGTATTATAAAGTTGGAAAGCACCTCCACTGCAGATTTGTTTAATCCGATGTTAGCCAAGTATATGAAGTGTGCTTCTGAATGTGTGAACAGGTGAGGCTACTGCAGTCTCAGCTGGATCAGAGACAGAAGATCGTCACAGAAGGAGTTCAGAATACAGAGAACGATCGTCTGGAGAACGGGATGGACTCTCATCTGCTAGAACTGCAGAGTGAGTCTTCATCATTTTCATCCTTTTTAATCTTTCGTCCTGTTTAATCTTCCTCATCTACCCCTTGCCATTCTTCAGTTTCATGTTTTCTGTTTAGTTTTGTCGTTGTTGTAGTATTCACAAAATGTACATTGGATTTGTAAAATTTCTGTGGATTCGTTGTCAGTAAAATTACATAATAATTAAAATGATCATTAAGTTTCTTTGTTCGTTTGATTTTCTTTTCTGTAGGAGATGCCAACAGACAAATCAGTGACCTTAAATTCAAATTAGTGAAATCTGAACAGGAAGTCACCACGCTTGAACAAAATGTAAGTACTGACATGCTTAAGTGTTTCCTTCCCAAATGGGTTCAATCTCAGAAATATTCAAACAAGATAAATCTTTGGAGCACCTTTATCATAGGTGCACAGCATGGACAGAAGTGTTTGACCGCACCAACTGTAAATCCCTGTTTATCTAGGCCTCTCAGTTCCACTGAAGGAAAATGTTCATGCTTCGGCTTACTGTCACATTTTGGAAAATTCTCTACTTCCAGCTTTGCGTGAACCGTTTTGGGGAAGGTCCTTTTCTCTTCTAGCACTCTGTGCCACTGTGCACAAAGTGAGGTGCATAAAAGCTAGAATGAATGAGTTTGCTGTGGAAGAAATTAGCCGCCCTGCACACAGCCCTAATATCTGCTCCATCACATACCTTTGATATGAAGTAAAATGGAGACTGCAAATGTCAAAACATCATTGTCTGACCATAAGCCTTCCCAGAAGAGCAGGAGCTGTTATAGCTGCAATGAGGGGATCAGTCAAGATGTGTGGGATGTCATAAAAGCTCCTGTAGGTCTTTCTTGTAGCTTGGCCAGGAAACACAACAAAACTTTCAATCTGTTTAGTTGTACTCACTCCCTCCCTAAAAGTCCACTTTCATCTGACTTCATCAAGAAGTTTGAAACTTTATCTGCCTTAAATAAGACGGTTCATGTTGCTGTTGATGTCCTCAGGTAATCCGTCTGGAGGGTCAGGTGAGTCGCTATAAAGGGGCGTCGGAGAACGCAGAGAAGATCGAAGATGAGCTAAAGGTAGAGAAACGAAAGCTGCAGAGAGAGGTGAGAGCACCACCTTCTGTCTGGGAGTTGACTTTCCTTGCTTTGTGTTTTCTGGTTTCTTGGGCATGTATTCTGTCTTCGCTGTTTTCTATGTGAGCAGTAAGGAACATTTGTTGTTTCTATGTTTCTCGCAGCTCCGCTCAGCTCTGGATCGGATTGATGAGCTGGAGGCCAGTAACAGCCACCTCTCCAAGCGCCTGGAGAAGATGAAGGCCAACCGTAATGCCCTGCTAGCCCAGCAGTGATTGCTCTTCCCATCTTCATCTTCAGAGACAATCAGACCTGAACAGAATGTCTTTGCGAGTGCTTGATTTTACTCTAAATAAGCACCAGATATGTGGAGTTTGCTGAGGCAGTGAAAACAAACCAAAACCCGAATCTGAGAAAATGAAATGTGATCTTTAATGTAGCTCTGTGAACACATGCCATCCATAGTCATGGCAGGATTTACCGCATCGGACTTCAGACTGTAGCATTGTCCATCCATCAAGCCTCAGAGGACAAAAAAACAGAGCAGATGGAGCCAGGAGACACAAAAACCTCCACTGCATTAAAGCAATGTATTCTAGTTCAACATCCACATATTTTAGTTCCAGAAGTTAGAGCGAAAATCAGCATGTTGGCTCAACACTCTTTACGCCCCAGCGGAAGCTAAGAAATTTTGGTTCCACTCAGTATGTCTTTACTAGAGCCATTTGTAGAAGCTTCATAGTACATCCATGGTTATCTTGCTTAAACAATCCCATATCGAGCATTATCTGTGGACATGGAAGTCCATATCCAGGCCATCTTGTAGAAGCTTTACAGTCTTTCATCAAATAGTTTACACATGATAGGTGATGAAAAAGGAGTGATCACTTTTTAATGCTTGTGGTCAGTTTAGTCAGTGACTGGAAGTGATTTATTTAGTCACCAGCCTCACTGTGCTTTTATCAATCCCTAAAGGCTGAGCGATGCTACCTGTACTCAGTATTTTATTGTTTTTCCTTTTCTTTTTAGGAAAGCCTCAACCTTAAGCAGCCTCAAATGGATATACATATAGTTAGAATAGTTGTGGCTTGTTCATGTTAGTGAGATCTGTTGGAACAAAACCAAACCAAATATATTTATGCGGCATGACTGCAGCACGTCTTCTCACAATATATAGGTTGCCTTGAACAAAATACGTTTCAGTAGTCCATATATTATAGGGTAAAGTTTTCATGAGCATTTTTAAACAAGAGCTGAAGCAGGAAAGTGCCTATGAAATCGCCCCAAATTCAGTGTTTTATCATCATATCCAACCTCTGATATCCAACCCCAATACCTGATTTTGTATTTATTTAGCTATTATCCAATATCTAAAGGTCACATTACAGAATGTGCAGACTTAAAAACGAAACTAAGCAAACAGAATGTGACCATTTATCTGTGTTTTTACCCTCTGACGCTCCTAATGCACATTAAAAACCATCAAAGCTGCAGTCGTGGTGTCCCAGTGTGGGTAAACATCGCCCACCTGGCCCTCCAGGTGTGTTAAAACAAACTCTACATCTGCCTCATCAGCATCCATCTGTGTGCAGTGTGGCACTACCTCTTCTCCAACACTTGGGTGCGCAGTTTCCCACAGAGACTTGACCAGTTGAGGGGCAGATTGATAGAAATTTATATATATATATATATAGAGAGAGAGAGATAGATATAGATATAGATATCTATATAGATATAGATAGATATAGATATCTATATCTAGATAGATATCTATATCTATATCTAGATAGATATCTATATAGAGATATATATCTATCTAGATATATAGATATATCTATCTATCTATCTATATATATATCTTTTTTTTTTTAAATATTTTGTTGGTAATGGATTTTTTTTTTTCTTTCTTCCTGTTTTCAGATAACACCAGACTCCTTGTTTGGTGTTTGTAATATTTTAAGTCAGATTTTTTTTTTCAGTTTGGTGGGGCCAGATGCTGTTGGACGGGAACCTAACCCAGATAGCAGTGCCCAGCCCCACCCAGTATGTTTTATTGATGGAACCAGGCAACAGAAGGAGATGTGGCCACAGTGGAGGAGGTCATCTTGTGTCTCTGTGTTGGATTTTGGGACTTTTCTTGGCACTTGGGATGTTAAATCACCAGCTTGTAAATGTAATGAATGAATGAATGAATGAATGAATGGATGGATGAAGAGTTTGAATTGCTGTTTTGATCCAGTGAGAGGGATTTTCTACGGCAGCACCTATGTTTGTCTCTCTGGGTGTTGAAGGATGTTTGGATCAAACTCTGCAAGTGTTAATCTGATAATCAATAATCTCTGATGTTTTTGTGAATGTACGGGTCGCTGCCTGCTGAGCAGAAATCATCAATACAAGCTGATCCTGATCATTCAGTGTGCAATATTTTATCTCATGTTTGGGGAAACTTTCATCTATTTTATTGTATCGGCTGTCCTATTGATTAGGATGCAGGGTGTCAATATATCAGTCAGTGGGGTTTTATTGATTTTATTGATCAGTGTGATGGAGTATTCAATTAAACTCATGCAATATCTCATTGTGTTTGTGGTTTCTGTGAATGAACAAGCCTTCTCAGCTAAAATCCACCATCCACTTGCCTGTAGTACTAAACTGGATTGGCTTGAGGGACGTGACCTTCTGCTGTTTGTCATCTCACTGTAAGGTGACTCATAACACTAATGGACAGGTCGCTCCCAGGCCGCTGACTGGACTTCTTTGCCAGCGCAGACGGCCTCCGGACCGATTTTGTCGACGCCGCTGCCTTCCCCACGGCTGGCCTCCGGACCTGTTCCGTCTCTGTCGTCAGCCTCCGGGTCGGCCACCTGAACTGTCTCAGTGGACTCTGTTTTGGGTATGCTTCGATAAAATTCAGTTAAAATGACAAACAGTCTAATTGGAACAGTTGCATGTTATGGACTTGCGCATTAGAAGCACATGAGCAAACATGTTTACATTCTTATTTCTAAAGCTGCGTCCACAAGAAGTGATTTGGTCATTGCACATCAATTTGCAGCTGACAACTGGTTACTTGCAGACATGACAGGTGACTCTCTAAAATATTTACAAGAGCCATTGAATGGAGAGTCGCACCATGTAAATGGACTTGTTCTTATATAGCGCTTTTCTACTCTGTTTGAGCACTCAAAGCGCTTTATACAACTAATTCATTCACACCAGCACTTCTTCTAAGCTCTTAAGTGCTAAGTATCTAACATTCATACACATTCACACTCCGATGATTAGTATCTTGCCCAAGGATACTTGGCATGCAGACTGCAGCAGCCTGGGATAGAACCACCGACCTTCTGGTTAGTGGCTGACCTGCTCTGCCACCTGAGCTACAGCCACCCCATTCACGCCAATGGACATTTCTTTTTCTTTCTTTTTTTTTTATAGAGATGGGGGATGACATAGCCTGGCAATACTTACAGGGAGTTAGCAGCAGACTAGCCATGAAGGTATAGCAGCACAAAAGTATGAGATGCACTTTTAAATGGAAAGGTTTTAAAGAACTGTATGTTATCAACACAGAGAAATCAGAATGAGATTCTGATTCTCTAAATAGATTATAGAGTTATTCACCCATCAATTAGTAGAATTTTGACATGCTAA